GGAATCTTGACAAAATAAATAAATTCAAATAGAATCATATATTCCATTGGAGGTTAACGCTGCTTAGATGATATCGGAAGATCTTTCCCTAATAAACTGGCAGGGAATTAGAAACACATTTGCAAAGTTCTGACAATTTGTGGAACCTGGAATAACATAATAAAAGCAAAATGTAGCTTATCACAGGATCAATGCGAAAAGCTACATTTACCATTTACTTACATAGGAAAGTCCCCATGGTTTTATACTTCCTAACTTTGCCTTAATGATACATAAAAACAATTCCAAACAAATATTTTTTGAACCTCACAAAATCCAAATTATCATCTATGGCTAAAAAAGGTTAAGAAACCACATGATCTGGGATAATTTTCTTTCTGTTCTGTCTCTTATATAGGGTTGAAAGTAGAAACTGTTCTTAAATGAAATAATCATTTATTGAATCCAGTTGATATTGTGGCTGTGAACTGGAATGAGAAAATAGTCAAAGAGGAAAGTGTGTGAGCAGGAGTTGAAGGCTTAAAAATATTTCACCAGCTAACAGAAATCCTGAGTTTAATAACATCCACCAACTGATGCCAATAAGCAGCTAACTCAGGGAAAACTGTAGAAGGCGAAAGATATTAGTTTTACTTATTTACTGACTTCTTTTTCATGGTGCCTGGCATGGAGATGGAGCTTGATTCATTTTTAGTATTGTTGAATAAAATAAATACAATAACATCTGTACAATCCATGGAGATTGGGCATGAAACAAATGCATAGTAATTTCTGGTTTAATATTTCATCTGGCTAACTGTCCCTGTCTAAGTCTTTCCAAAATGCTGCCAATATACATCAAATAAGACACTGATAAAGATGAAAACAAATCCCAAAATCTAAAGCCAGCACTCAACTAAAACCACTTTAACAGTTTAGTATATATTCTCCCCTCTTTGTCTGTGTATTCACTCACACACATACACACCCATAAATTTTTTTTTTTTTTTTTTTTTGAGACAGATTCTTGCTGTGTCACCCAGGCTGGAGTGCAGTGGCACAAACTTGGCTCACTGCAACCTCCGCCTCCCAGGTTCAAACAGTTTTCCTGCTTTAGCCTCCCGACTAGCTGGGATTATGGGCATTTAAAAAAATTCTTACATATTGAATCACAATGTACAAATTGTTCTTTTTCTTATTCACGGTGCTTTAGAGATCTTTTCATTTCACTATGTACAGATCTACCTCACTGATTGCAACTGTATTGTCATGGTACTGAGGAACTATGTACCAAAAACCATTTATGTAATTTCTTTACCATCTAAAAGTGTATTTTTACATTAGAAATTCATCATTTGAATGAGGTAAATCCGTATATACTGACATAAAATATCTCCAACACAAAAACAAGGGGAAGTACATAAAATCTAATGCCATTCGTGTAGGAAAAAAAGTCTACATAACCTCTATGTGGAGACACACATGACTTCACAGTAACTGTATGAAGGGTAGAAAGCTAACAGATGAAAGCTCCTTGGAGAAGTGTCTGGTGTTGGTGTGGGTAGATAAGGGGAGTGTTAGGCTTATCTGTAATATTTTAGTCTATTTTATTTCGCTTATCTTATAATGAAGATATATGTATTATATTAGTTGGAAAAATTAAAATTATACCATCTTTAAAAAAATAAAAAAATATATAAACTGGAAAGTGAATATATGTATTCTAGAGATGTTTGGAAAAGCTTGTCAAAGGAAATTGGTCCATCTGCAGCAAGATCATCAGTGCAAAAATGTGAAATGGTTGTATTTTACAGTTACATTTCTTAAACGAACACTGTCAAGATGATGCCTCATGCGCTTTTCTCTGGTGACTGTGAATATTATTTTAGCCAGCTTGTTCATGAAGGATGATGACAGAAAGGCATGAAAGTCAATTAAAAGATGCTGTCATTTATGTCAAACTCTGGGACTGAGCATGAGAGTCATGGTACTGTCAATCATGCTGGTTCTTTGCATATTAGTTTGCCCACAGCGCTGGCTGCACAGGGGCTCATTTTTTTTAAAAGCTGGATTCCAGTGCAGTCACTTTTCAGTTGCTTTGCTGTCAGTGCCTTTTTCTACATTACACATATAGTTTGCCCATATAGTTTTTCCCTTTCCTTTTAGCTGGACTATAATATTGATGGATAGAGTTGCTGAAGCTTATTGAAACACAAAAACCGAAATTTACAATTTATTCTTTAAATATATCCACAGCTCAGAATTTCAGAAGTAAGCAAAATAAACAAACAAATATAAAGCTATATCTAGGCATTTCCCAGAAACATTGGGAGAAAGCAATTTCCTTTCTATGTTAGTACCTTAAAGATCTGTCATTAAAGTGAAATTTTAACTAAAACAAGAACTGAGGATTCTTCAATACTGATACAAAAAAAATTGATTGTTACAGCTGAGAATGAAACAGTAACCTAGGACTAGCAGAAGAGCATCAGTAGAACCTGGATTGTGTATGAAAATAGATCTGGAAACCAATGAGCAGAGAGATGGTTGTTTTAGCTGCTGCCTCTAGGGCTCTTACTAATCCTCTAACAGGATTGAAAGCAAAGGAGAGTGATGTCAAAAGACTCTGCAACATGTGCAAATGTACATAATTATTCCTGAGTCCACAACATAATGCAGCCATTCTCAGATTCTATATTTTTGTTTTTATCATAATGTCTTAAGTTAATGAAACTCCTCAGAAGATGCAGCCTTGATAGATCCCAGCTAACCATTTTGCTAAGATTCTGCAAATCAAGTAAGCAGACCTCTAATCAAAACTATATTTTAAAAATGTTAAAACATTTAAAATGCATGTGTTGTGCATTACATAGATTGGTAAATGCACAGCAGAAGAGGACAAATTCAAGACTTTTAAGTGTGTTGATCCTGGCTGGTGAAGAAAAGAAGAATGCATGTTTGAAGAGAAGCTCTCACATGTATCTACTGTTAGAACACACTACTAAGAGCTATAGAAAGAGTTGCCTCATATTAACCGATCTGCCAGCCCAGTCAGAGAACCTTGGGAGGGCCTGGGTTACATGGATGCAACAGGACAAGGAAAGTAGAAAATGTGCAGGTATTAAAGTCTAGGGACTTGTCCAATGGCAAAAAGGCAGAAGGGAAGAGAGGCAGGTCTATCAAAGTCAAAATCTGACACCAGGAAGCAAGTAGAAGCAAACACTGGTAGGAGCTAAATGAATAATATATTTGACAATTATCTATTCTATGGATTCCATTCTCTTTTCTACTGACTTCCAGACGCCCAAATTCACCATGCTCTTGGCTATGATACTATCTTGAGGTTGTATTTTCTGGTTTGCATACCCACATCATACATCTCCATTTTCCCTCCTTCCTTTACTTTACGCCTCCATCAAATAAACCTGTGTGAGGTTTATTCTTTTAGATTCTGGCTGGGTGACAGAAGCAGTCTGACAAATTAATTCCTGCCAGATGTTAACTGGGCCAATAACATCATGGATAAGATCAGGAACAGCATAGGTTGGAATCCAGACTCTACTTCTCTTAAGCCGTCTGTCTCTGATATAGGTTCTTTTCTTTACGGTGAAGTGAGTTTAATAGCCTCTCTTAAGGAGTAGTATGATGCTACGTGACGGCATCTCCTGATAGGGCTCCTCCGTGATGGGGCTAGAGGGATGAGCTCTGTGGGATGGCCTTTTACAGACAAATGCATGGAGTAGCTTCACCTTCTTTTTTTGTGTAACTCCCCTACTTTTGTGTAAAAACTTCCCTAGTAAGTGTTGGATTGTAAGTCTTGGAGGACTCTAGCAGGGCCATGGAGCTGTGTGCTACAGAAGATGTCTAGGATGGGGAATAAAACAAAACTGTGGCAACATGCAGAGACACTCATAGTGTTTCCTCTGATCTTCCTACAAGGAGGTAAAAGAGATTTTGCATGTAGCCAAGTTGCCACTGGGGAATAATGTCAGCCAGATTCCTCTGGGAGGGGGCAGTGGGTCACTCAATTGGGAAAGCCCTCGGACAGATCCCAGGGATTTCCCATATTCGTGTGTGTGCCCTGAGCCCACCCTGTTCTTCTCAGGTGTCTGTCTTGTGGCGATCACTCTGTGCCTATTCTCACTCTAGAGCAGCACTGGTCATGGTTGGTGGCATGGTACACTTGCCTTTCTTTGAAGGAGATGGAGAAGGTGAATCCATCCAACAACTCCTGCTTGATGTGCTGCATGGAGCTCTGAAAAAAGAGTGTCCAACAGCCAGGCCAAGAGGCGTCAATGGCCAGCCTTGCTATTTTCCCAGGCGGCCACCCAGATTAGAACTTCCCTCCCAAGATCAGGCACATAGGAGTAACTGCAGAGACTTCCAGTCAGAAAGGAAGCTAGATGACAGATTGAAGTCTCAGGATTTACATGTGAAAAGAAAAGATTTGTCCCCAACACTCCCCTTCCCATCCTGCCAGCCATGACCCAGAGTATGAACCTGATGGACCCCCCTGTCTCCCAACTCCTGACAACCTGCTCTTGTCCATGGAGAGCCCCTCATCTCTTGCTTCCCTAAAACACATGGTAATAGGGAGGGTTTTTTTCCAATTCTGTGAAGAAAGTTATTGGTAGCTTGATGGGGAGAGCATTGAATCTATAAACTACTTTGGGCAGTATGGCCATTTTCATGATATTGATTCTTCCTAACCATGAGCATGGAATGTTTTCCATCTGTTTGTGTCCTCTCTTCTTTCCTCGAGCAGTGGTTTGTAGTTCTCCTTGAAGAAGTCCTTCACATCCCTAATAGTTGTATCCCTAGGTATTTAATTCTCTTTATAGCAATTGTGAATGGGAGTTCACTCATGATTTGGCTGTCTATTATTGGTGTATGGGAATGCTTGTGGTTTTTACACATTGATTTTGTATCCTGAGATTTGCTGAAGTTGCTTATCAGCCTAAGGAGATTTTGGGCTGAGATGATGGGGTTTTCTTTCTTTTTTTTTTTTTTGTTTCTGGCGGTTTTTTTTTTTTTTAATTAAAGAAATCCAGTGTCTCAAAAACTTGTGAAAATGTGTTTAAAAAAGAAAGGGCCGGTAAGCCTGTCACATCAGTCTGCCCATATGCCTATTGTACCTTCTGATGTCAACAGAGTGCAAAAGCCTCTGTTTTCACAGTCCCTATGATACTAACTCTCACAACTGTACCTCTCTAGAGAAAAAACAGAAAATAGAGAACAAAAGGAAGGCAGTTCTACTAGTGAGAAGATGCAAATTAAAAGCAAACTGGAAAGCAAGAGCAGTAGTAAGGGTGAAATGAGAGACTGGAGTTGAGACTGCTTGAGAAATCTGGCTATGTAGCTTTGGTTTGGGGGACCAAGGAAGAGGCTGGACATAAAAAGTGCAATCTACATTGGTAATAAATGGTCATCCCTTTCTTCTGACTCTTCCCCCAGCTGGTCATCCCCCACACCACGATACGCTGCAGGCACATTTCGAGGTTTAGAACGGCAGACAAAGTCACAGCCATCTGCCACCAGGTTGCCAAGATCCTGCCAGAAGGCTAAGTGGGGAAACTGCTCCACTCCTTTGGCTCCCACCACCAGTCGCTGGTATAGGAACCTCCAACAACATAAACAGCAACCAGTGATACAAACGTGACAAGTAAGATAGAACCCGTGCTGAGGTGGGAGATCTCTGGGGAACAGGCCAGGCTGCTATCCATCTCAAAGAGGTAGAAACAATCTTGGACTTTGCCTCGCTCCTCAGACACAGGGTTAAAATTGTCCGCTAGGGTGTGTCGGTTGCAGGAGATCATCACCACTGCACGACGCTGCTCCTTGCCACAGTGGTTGTCATATTCATCACCCCCTTTATAGATCAGCATGATCCAATTACTTCCATTGAAGATGTGAGTCTCGTTGAGCCTCCCTACCACTGTCTCCTTCCCATTACTTTTGTTGATTTGCACGAGGCCTGCCCCAGAAGTGTGGTTGCCAGCTTCCCGGCACACTCTGAATATGTAGATGTATGTTTCTGAGCCCTGGCCCACAGTGCTCTCAAAGCTTTTATTAAACAGTGGTTTCAACCTCTTCACTAGAGCCAACTCTTTCTCTGATTCTTTACCCTTTTCTCCTACCAAGTCGCAAGTTTTTTCATCTGTCTGCCAAGATTCTCTCACTGCCACAGCCAGGAGTAGCAGCAGTAGCATTCTAGTCCTCCAGGAGCTGTAGAAAGGGAACATCGTGTCGCGGGAAACTGGAGCAGCCAAAGCTCACAATCCCTGGTGAATATGCGTCTGGGGATGGGAGACAGGGCCTGCTAGAAGCCGGCCGCAGACCCCGGTCCCAGAGCTAGTGTCAGAGGCCAGCGTCGCCCCTAGTGCCTTGTTGTGCCCCCGGGGTTTTCTAAATATACAATCATGTCATCTGCAAACAGGGACAATTTGACATCCTCTCTTCCTATTCGAATATCCTTTATTTCTTTCTCTTGCCTGATGGCCCTGGCCAGAACTTCCAATACTATGTCAAATAGGAGTGGTGAGAGAAGACATCCTTGTCTTGTGCCAGTTTTCAAAGGGAATGCTTCCAACTTTTACCCATTCAGTTCCATTTTGCCCACCTTAAACTTCATATGAAATCAAAAGGGAGCCCATATAGCCAAGACAATCTTAAGCAAAAAAAAAACAAAAAACAAAAAACGAAGCTGGAGGCATCATGCTACCTGACTTCAAGCTATATTACAAGGCTACTATAATCAAAACAGCATGGTACTGGTACCAAAACAGAGATATAGACCAATGGAACAGAACAGAGGCCTCAGAAGGATTGCCACACAGCTACAACCATTTGATCTTTGACATATCTGACAAAAACAAGCAATGGGGAAAGGATTCCCTGTTTGATAAATGGTGTTGGGAAAAACTGGCTAGCCATGTGCAGAAAGCTGAAACTAGATCCCTTCCTTACACATTATACAAAAATTGACTCTAGATGGATAAAAGAATTAAACATAAGGCCTAACACCATAAAACTCTAGAAGAAAACCTGGGAATACCATCCAGGACATAGGCATAGGCAAGGACTTCATGACTAAAACACCAAAAGCAATGGCAACAAAAACCAAAATAGGCAAGTGGGATCTAATTAAACTTAACAGCTTCTGCACAGCAAAAGAAACTATCAATAGAGTGAACTGGCAACCAACAGAACGGGAAAAAAATTTTTCAATCTACCCATCATACAGAGAACTTAACAAATTTACAAGAAAAAAAAACCCCATAAATATATATATACATATACATATATATATGTATATATATATGTATATATACATATATATATACATATATATATATATGTATATGTATATATACATATGCCATTTACATTCAATGTTAGCATTGAGATGTGAGGTACCATTGCATTCATCATGCTATTTGTTGCCTGTGTACCTTGGTTTTTCATTTTTTGTTTTTGCTTTTTAAATTGTTTTCTTGTTTCATATGTCCTGTGTGATTTATGCTTTAAAGAGGTTCTGTTTTGATGTGTTTCTAGGATTTGTTTCAAGATTTAGAGCTCCTTTTAACAGTTCTTGTAGTGGTGGCTTGGTAGTAGCAAATTCTTTCAACATTTGTTTGTCTGAAAAAGGCTGTATCTTTTCTTCATATGTGATGCCTAGTTTTTCTGGATACAAAATTCTTGGCTGATAATTGTTTTGTTTGAGAAGGCTGAAGACAGGGCCCCAATTCCTACTAGCTTGTAAAGTTTCTGCTGAGAAATCTACTGTTAATCTGACAGGTTTTCCTTTACAGGTCACCTGGTTCTTTTGTCTCACAGCTCTTAAGATTCTTTCCTTCATCTTAACTTTAGATAACCTGAAGTGATCTAAATGTACCTAGACAATGATCTTTTTGTGATGAATTTTCCAGGTGTTCTCTGTGCTTCTTGTATTTGGATGTCTAGGTCTCTAGCAAGGCCAGGGAAGATTTCCTCGATTATTCATCCAAATATGTTTTCCAAATTTTAGATTTCTCTTCTTCCTCAGGAACACCAATTATTCTTAGGTTTTATTGTTTAACATAATTCCAGACTTCTTGGAGGCTTTGGTCATATTTTCTTATTCTTTTTTTCTTTGTCTTTTTTGGTTTGGGTTAATTCAAAGAACTTGTCTTTGAGTTGTGAATTTCTTTCTTCTACCTGTTCAATTTGATTGCTGAGACTTTCCAGAACATTTTGCATTTCTATAAGTGTGACCAGTGTTTTCTAAGTTTTGATTGTTTTTTATTTATGCTATTTCCTTGAATATTTCTCACTTCACTTCTTGTATTATTTTATTGATTTCCTTGCACTAGGCTTCGCCTTTCTCTGATGTCTACCTTATTAGCTTAATAACTAACTTTCTGAATTTGTTTTCAGGTAAATCAGGGATTTCTTCTTAGTTTGGATGCATTGCTGGTGAGCTAGTGTGTTTTTGTGGGGGAGTGTTAAAGAGCCTTGTTTTGTCATATTATCAGAGTTGGTTTTCTGGTTCCTTCTCATTTGAGTAAACGCTGTCAGACGGAAGGTTTAGGGCTCAAGGCTGTTGTTCAGATTCTTTTCTCTTATGTGTTGTTCTCTTGATGTAGTACTCTCCCCCTTTTCCTATGCATCTGGTCTCCTGTGGGCCAAGTTTCAGTGATTGCTATCTCTCTTTTGGGTCTAGCCACTCAGCAAGTCTACCCAGCTCTGGGCTAGTGAACTGTCTGTAGGCCTCTCACCCATGGATATCAGCACCTGTTCCAGTGGAGGCGGCAGGGAGGCTAAATGGACCCTGTGAGAGTTCTTAGCTTTGGTTGTTTAATATTCTATTTGTGTGCTGGTTTACCTCCTGCCAGGAGGTGGTGCTTACTACATATGATCTAAATTAAATGTAAGGTAAAGTTTCTTTAAGTGAAATGAGTTAGATGAAATGGGGTTAAACTGACAGCCCCAATTACCAGATAAAAAAGGTAACAGAAACCCTTAAAATGAATAAATAACCGCTTTATATGGGGATAAGAAATGAACTCAAAGCCACACTGTTAAATAGAAAAGAAAGAGCAAGCCAGTGAGATACAATTTCTATATTTAAAAATTGTAATTATATACATGCACTGTGCTCAGGCACAGAGAATATCTCTAGAAGAAAACAGAGCTGCTGGGACAGCGTTTTCTTCTGGGGAAGAGAACCGAGGGCTTGGAGAGGGACTTCCCTTTCATTATACACCTGTTTGAAACTTTTGAATATTTTATTGTGTGCATGTAATTACTTATGCAAATCTGAAATTTTAAGTCAAATGACAAAAGTTGATTCAGAAGATAGCATAATCCTTTAAGAACTGCTGCTCATTTCCCAGGCTGGAGAGAACTCTTTAATGTTAAACTTCCCACCTATGCTCTTTTGGTGCCAAGTAGCCTGCAAGGATACCATTCTTGACTCCCGTTGATGTGAAACTATATTGACTCCTGGAAACCTCAGGGGTCATTGATCCTGGTCTCTTCATATTTATCACTTATGCTTGGATGTATTTGTCCGAGACTGAAAGTCTAGCCAGTCTTTCTGGGTGACTGGTCCCAGTGCAGCACACATGTAGAAAATCTGCAGAAATAAACCAAGATGTATGATTGGCCAATGAGTGATTTGAGAACAAAGGATAATAACGATTCAAATGTGAATTCCTACAATTAAGGACTCCAAAGAAAATGGGAATCACGTTTTTCTCTTCATGTTTATCAGAGCAAATCATTAGTGATGTTTATGTCAGCTATCTAGTTAGGTCAAGCTTTACCATGGCCAGAACTGATTTTCACAAACATGCATGCAGGTGGAAGCGACTTAAAAATAGCCTTGAATGGAAATAATTACCACTTTATATTATCACGAAAGCATATCTTTGTGCCAGAAAGCCCCATTCCCACTTGGCAAAGCCCTAATTACCACTGCTCACAAGAAGAGTGTTGATGCCTTAGTCAAAATTCCTAGGTTCCAAAGTTCAACTTTTTTTTTCCCATTTATTTATTTTATTGCATTTTAGGTTTTGGGGTACATGTGAAGAACATGCAAGATTATTGCATAGGTACACACGTGGCACTGAGATTCCCCCCCATCACCTACATCTGGCATCTCTCCCCTTGCTATCTCTCCCCCCCTTGCTATCTCTCCCCAGCTCCCCACCCCCCACCGTCCCTCCCCTATTTCCCCCCAACTGACCCCAGTGTGTAGTGCTCCCCTCCCAGTGTCCATGTGTTCTCATTGTTCAACACCCACCTATGAGTGAGAACATGCGGTGTTTGATCTTCTGCTCTTCTGTCAGTTTGCTGAGAATGATGGTTTCCAGGTTCATCCATGTCCCTACAAAGGACACAAACTCACTAAACATCTTTTGGTCCAGAATGGCTTCACAGACATTAATTGTTGTTCCAGTGATGAACAAAGTATTGCTCAAATGCTTTTGTCTTATGTTGAAGCCTTTTTTTTTTTAAGAAACAGAATTCAACTAAGCGAATGTAGAAATTAATTTTTAATCCTAATAGTTAAATCTCCATTTAAGACTATTTTCACAATCGTTATCTCCACTAGAGGTTAAAATAATTTGAACAACTACAAAGTTAAAACAAAATTTATAATGAAAACCATTTTAGTGCATAAAATATGTTATACCATATTTCTTAACTAGAACATGAGGCTCTGCTTGGATTGCAGGGGAAAAAATATAAATGTGACCTTTCATGCATTCTCAAATATTTCATGTTGTTTTAGGTAAGGATGCATTGCATACGTTTCTTAATTCATTTATATATTCACTGATGCTAAACAAACATTTCTAAGATAATTTGTTTTAAGCTTATTTGGATAGTGAAAAACGTCAGTATACAATATGTTTAATTCTACTTCAGCCTAGAAAAGGTTGTCTCGGCTCAAATGTCGCCTTTTAAAACCAAATAGAAGGAAGAGCCAGCAATTATGTTCTAACATTTAGATCTGAGAGTGAAAATGAATACTTGCTGCCCGCTTCATCGTTTTCTGCTTTTGTTTTTATTTTCCTTTTTGAGTTTTGATTTCACTTCTCCTCCTTGCCCCATAAAACTTGAAGACTGAAATGTGGTAATTTTCTTTTGTAAGCCTTTGTTACTGATTTAATTAACTAAAAGCCATTTACTTGTATTTAAAAAGTCCGCTTATATTTTGGTTCATCAATGCTTTTAATCTCATAAAATTACAGCCCATTCCAACATTAACTCATGGACTTGTATCTGTCAAGGATCACCAGGGACGGGAACAAACTTCTCTGCTAGAAAAAAATCTATCACAATATTGCTTTGCCTTTTACCGTTCAAAATGCTGTGATATCAACCATGAATTTTTCCCCTCATCT